AATTAACCGGATTTTTTTGGGGCATTATATTATATCCTAACCTCTCATAGGTAAACTCTAGTCCCTAATTCTGTAATCTCGAATTTATGCACATACTTCGTAATACCTATCTTCTATCGTATCTTGAGTTAAATAAAAAAGTATAGTATACCTTGATATTACATATACATGTATATATATATGTGTGTATGTATATTAGACTCAAAATTATCTAGAGATCTCGCTTTTACCCCCATAACACCAGAGAACCATTGGGGTTGTCTATTGTTCGATATATAATATATAAAGAGGCAAATACTAAGATTCTACTACTTATTTCTTATCCTCTCCCGCCGACCGCTTTATGGAGAATAAAAAGGTAGGGATGACAGGATCATAGCTCGATATGGTTTTATTATGTTCATCTTATCGGAGGTTATGTTCTTTTTTGCTTTTTTGGCTTCTTTTTCATTCTACTTTAGAACCTATGGTTGTGATCAGAGGTACTTAGCCCTCGAAAGGGATTGGGATTTTAGGTCCTTTGGAAATCCAATACACATTCATGATCCTCGAGTTTGGACGAACTCTCGACCAATGTTGTAAAAATTGCGACTTTTTAGTGAGAAATTCTTAGTAAAGATACTTCATTATTGGATTTATTCATCCATATTGAAACTTGACACACACTGTATCCCTCATGATGACTAAATTCTCTAATCTCGACTCATTTCCATTTTGGATGTTTGTTTTTTATCCAGACACTTAAATTTAGTATATTATATAATATGTATCAATTGTTAATTTTTGAAGTTTATACTAAACTTCAACCGGTGGTCATTGTTTATATGTTGACTTAGAATCTCAATCTAAGGCACTCACACACACTATCGAGGATTTTTTGTCTTAACATGGTCGTTGAATGTGTAATTTTCAAAGATTTTATCGCTTATATATTAATAATGGATAAAGAGTGTCTCCAATACAAACATATTTTAAGTGCATTTAAAATGTCTTATCATTTGAACAATATCAGTGTATTTCATTTGATTATTTGCATTAACTTATTATCTTATACAACATATATTAATTTGTTTTTCTCGAGTCCAGACGAACTAAAAACCAATTTTGAGAGTTGAGATTATTGGATAAAGATACTTGATTGCTGGATAAATATGTTTATCCCAATTGATGATCTTACTAAAAATTGCCAACCTTTATTTGGTAAATGCCTATGTTAGTAGTTGATGAAACGTGATGTTTATCGTAGATTCTGAACAAAGATTTTTCTAACCTTCACATCTATATTTTCAAGGAATCTTGTGTCTCATCATAGGGTATGAAGTCAAAGTTCGTCAACAATCATACTTAAGTCATTTTGAAAATTTTGATTTATAATCGTCGAAGATAACTCCAAGTCTGAAAAAAATTTCTTAGCATACGACTTAGAACCTCAATCAACATGATATAGAGCAAATATTATTAATGTGAACTTAGGTCACATTATCAAATTATTGCACATGCGATTCCTCTTCATTTGAGGAATTTAAGGTAGAACATGATTTGAATGAATAAGAATTTTTTTAAATAAATAACTGTAACTACTCGATCAAGATTATACTCTGACATTTTGCTAAATAATATTGTTTTATTTTATAGATATATATTGTACGAATAAGAGAGTGTTTCATTGCAACAAAATATAAAGTAATATAGTATATTTTTCAAATGTAATTGAATGTCAAATGTTTATTTCTCTCTTTTCATATATATTTTGGTTTAATCGATTAAAACATAATTTTTTATGTGTATGTTTGTTTATTTTTTCATCAAAATGTAACTTATCATTGAATTTTAGTAAAAATGAGTAGAAAATTTATTTCATAAGGTTTAATAAGATATTTTTTATTTAAATAAATGTGATATATGTCACTCTCTTTTTTCTTATTTATATTTTTTTTATTTAAAAAAATTATTATTTATGTGTGTTTGGTTAAGTTTATCAACATGTGACTTATTATTAAGACAAAAAAGAATAAATGGATAAATGAAAAAGAATAATTGGATAAAAGAAATGAAAATATTAAAGAAGAGAGAGGTAGCTCCATAAATACATTAATAACTAATTTTTTGTTTGTAAAAAAGTTGTCCAACTTGGCAAATTGTGTATCCTCCAAGTGCTTATGTGGCAAGAATTTTTTTTTGAATTGCCATAATATATAGTATAGAAGATAGATAGATAGATAGATAGATAGATAGATATAGATAGATAGATATAGATAGATTTGTATATATAGCCAATGCATTTATGTCAGATCAGCATGCATGTGGAAAGAATTGTTATAACATAATTTGAGAATTATCATTCAACAGAGGGAAAATAATATGGGAGTTGTATACTGACCAAATGGATGTGACCGCGTCAAAAGTAACTCTTGATCACTATTGATGAAGTTACTCTCTCCGACAAATGGATGAATGAATCTCTTGATATTCTGATGGTTAATATTCGATCTCTCACTGGTGGAAATTTCTGTTTGGTATTGTTGTAGATCGACAGGATCTTAGGCAGACTTCATGACTTCATGTCAATGGTATATTCCTCAAACATACTAGATTTTGAGTACGTAAAACAATCCTGATAATAGTAAAAACTTGAACTTCCAAATTATCTTAAGATCAACAGGATCTTAGGTATATAATATCGAGATAATGGTAACAACTTCCCTTTCATATTTTCTTAAGATCAACAGGATCTTGAGTATAAAAGAAAGTAAACTTTCACTTTGGAGTTGGCTCAGATCGACAGGATCATGAGTACATAGAACAATCGTGCTAATGGTAAAAAGTTTATACTCCGAAATTTTCTCAGATCGACAGGATCTCAAGCACATAGAACAATCGTGCTGATAACGTGTTATGAATAATTATTCCGATGCTGGGAATAAGCAATACCATTAACACGAAACGGAAGAGAAGGGGTAACACCGCTTTTATTCCATAGTCTATAGATATGTAACCAATATGGAATACATAGAGAAGTGAGGGAGAAGAGGAATGAATTTGTGTTTCTTCTTCTGTAGGAATGCCTTTTATAGGCAAGAGAGCATTGAGATCCAATATCATAATGATGAGGAGGAGATGGCAGTTGGGAAGTGGAGTCAATTGACATCCATATATATATTTTCATAATAGTAATTTAATAGTTGTAGTTTGTTGAGGTTTGAATATGGATTCAATGATATAGGTAAACAATTTTACCACTACACTACATAATGAACTGTGTTGGCATTTTGCTATTTCTTATATTGATATTTGGATTACACTGGATTATTTAGTTGGCTAACTGCATGAAGTTTAAGCAAATCGATTGAGTATAATATAATTGATGAAATATTTCTAAATTTCTCATATGGTTAAATGTAGATGTAGATGGAGGGTGTATATATAGTTTTTAGTCTGACGGGCCTTGTGTCAGATTCTCTCTACCATAGTGACTCTTCGGCTCATGGAAGTCAATAGTGATGCTTGATGTATGATATGTTGGACTGAGTCAGAGACATTGGAGCATTTGCGTTTGGATTGTCCATTTTTATTTTGTAGAGTGTTAACCATAGGGTCCTACTAATTCGATGGAACAACTTCTTCTTCCTCTCATTTTATTTTGTATATAGGAACAGAGAGTCGTATTACCTGTACAAGGGACACCAAAAACCATAATAAAATCAGCAGTTGAAGAGCTTCAACTCTTTCGCGGATTAGTACTAAAATTTCATAGAGACCACGTAAATCGATTGTCTGTTTATTCTGCTTGATTCTTGATTCATACACTCTGTTTGGGAAGATGGGTAAATGGGAGGGGGGGGGGGGGGGGGGTGCAAATGTGAGGGGTAAACACAGTTTCCAACACATTTGCACATGTTTGGTTAATTTGGAACAGTAGGCGAATGCAAAACAGGAGTGCAAATTTACAGTTTCCACCCAAATTGGAGTGCAAGGGAAGGAAGGAAAAGAGGGGGAGGGGGAGGGAGAAATTATGGAATTTTGTTTTTTTTTAATTGTGTTATATATAATTATATAATAAATAATATTATCAATTTCTTTTTTTATAAATATCATTAATGTAGATATTATTCGAGGTTGACCATTTGACTCCGGAAACGAGTTTATCAATGTTCGTCAAGTCAAATCTAGATCTCTTGGTTGACTCGAATTTGCATTGAAAATTAGAGATAAGAAGTGTTTGTGGAAAAGATAGAGAGAAATTGTTTGGTTAACTCAGTTTATTTGACTAAATAGTTAAAACTTACAAATTTGAACGTGTTTGACTAAGTTTGACAATTTAAGATTAATCTAGACATGAAAATCCTATATAGGATGACTAGTTATGAGTTGAGCTTCGAGTTTTGAGATCGCTCGATCAATGATTATTACAATTGTTATAATTAATTATTATTTGAGCATTATTATATAATAATTATTTTTATTAAATTATATTTATTATTATATAATATTTATTTTATTATTTTATGATAATATTTAATAATTTTAATAAATCTATTTTATAATATATAATTACTTATTTTTCACTCTATTTGCACTCTCCTACTTTTTCATCCAAACAACAATTTACCCCTCCACTTACACCCCCAGCAATTTACATCCTCAACAATTTACCCCTGAACTTGCACCCACCTTGTTGGCAAATAGATCGTAATAGAAATTGGACTCCATCAAACACTTGTAGTGTACATTGGCTTGGAGAAAACGGGGGGGGGGGGGGGGGGGGGGGAGGGGGGGGGGGCTCGCTCAGTCATCACATTAGACAAGTGGGCTACTCGCCCTATATCGACTAACAATGATCTGGGCTCTTTTTAATTTTTATTTCCAAAACTAGCCAAACCTCAATCTCAGTTGTCAGTTTGAAAAAGGGAGGGAAAAAAAATCGAGGGTGAGTTATATTTATGAAGGTGTTAGTGATTTCTCTCTTTACTCATTTGTTTTGATAGTAACTATATAAACTAACATGTAAATCGACTGTATTCCGACCACGCAGGACTTGCGAGACTCTGCGTAACAGTTTACACTTAAATCCCATTTGACAAACACAATGAGCTAAATCACTAAAATTAGCTAGTCAGTAGATCAAACATTGAAGCTAGCATTCAATTCTCTGACCGCAATTTCCAAACACAAAAAAAAAAAAAAAACTAATTAACCACTTCATAACTCTCCAACAACCTATTTCGCAAACTCCAAAATATGCATGTGTCATGCATGGATGCACATAGACATAGTTTTCTTATTGCAAAAGAAGAGAGAAAGAGAAAAAAAAAAGCATATCTACTTCTTCCACGGATAACAGCGCTGAACACCAAACATGCTCGTACACGGCCCGCTCTCCTTGACGATCCACTGGCACCACGCCGGCGACCGGCACCGGTCTGCGTCCCTTAGCGGATCGTAGATATCGAACCAGCGAGGCCCTCCGACGGCTCCCCAATCCATGCTGCAGTAGAACCAAGGGGGGCTCGCCTTTATCCAGAACTTGAATCGGTAGCTGTCATGCGGGTTCACCACATGAACCCCGAGATCTTCGTTATCAACGAAGAAGCTGCTGCAGTGCACTGTCAGCTGTCGCCCTCCGCCCACCTCGTTGGTGATCATCACCTTCGTTTTGGGGCCCCATGGAGACCATATTATCTCAGTCGCCGTCGCCATTAGTGTCGACAGGAAGATCAGGGACACCAGCGCCGAAATTATTTTGTTGCGTTGCCGCATCATTAGTTGATTCTCGGAGTACTAAGATGCTTTTGTTGTTGGTGTTGTTGGATTTCACAGCTGATGGCTGGAGGTTTTGTTGTGATACACTGATATTGTTGTATATATAGTCAGGAGGGTGTTCATCTGAGTAATTTTCTGTCGTAAGATCATATGCCAAAAATACAGCGAGTCAAAAGATTTGGTTTGTTTAATCATCTATTAATGGATAAAGCAAGATAACAACCAGACACAAATTGCACAAGGATAGTGATTATGATTGGTTAATGATCGAGAGCATTGTGGAGAACGAAGTTTACTATTTCTTTTTTAAGTTTTCACATTATCTAGGGTGATTGTTGGGTATTTGCCGAAGTAATAGTGATTTTGGATCAAGACAAAGGAAAGAATTGGTGTTTAATCACTCAATTTAGAAATTACTCAAACAAACAAAGCCTTACTTTTGGCACTTGTTCTTACACACGCAGATATTTCTTTTCTTTTCATTTGTTTTCTATGTCTCTGACACTTCCTCTACTACTCTTCCATGCGTACAGCACACATACATTTATATAATTGAAAGTTAACAAACTAATAATGAACACAATCATATACATGGCCCTTGTCTCTTCCACCATTATACATATACACGTTCTATAATAAATCAACCAAGGCCCATGTAATTAATCCATCCATTATTATTTATTGACTTCAACTTCTTATCAACTTGTTGTCCATGGAGAGTTGTGATTGCATAACCATTATTGGTTGTTATGCCCTCTTTTCATCTTGTCAAACTTGTAGCAGAACACTACATGTTCCAAAAATTATGGCATATGGAATTGTCCACTTGATGTGATTGTAGGTAGACAGGGGCAGAGCCAGGATTTAACGTTCGGGAGAGGGGTGGGGGGCGGAGTTTACATTTACCGCAAAACCTAAAAATATACTAATAATCATAATATTAATAAAACTTTATATAGTACAAACATACATAAAAATTCTAATCAAATTGTATCACAATTCAGAAAAATATAAAAATGATTAATAATGTATTTCAATATTGTGTGACTCATTCATTATATATCCGAAAGTATCCTTAAAATGGAAGAAATTAATTGATATAATTTTAATTTATTGAACTAAACAAACAAAATACTAAACTTAAATGATTAAATTGATTGTTTTATTCAAAGAATCTTTAAAATTGAAGGATTTAAGTATTTAATTTGAAATAAAATGCTTGATTTAAGGTCAAAGTGATTTGTTGAGAGAGGCAAAGTATATTCAAAATTGAAGGAATAGTTATCTAATTTGAAATTAAATGTTTGATTTATAGTGAAATCGATAATTTTCGGAAAAATAAGAAAGGGAAAAGCTGCTTAATGCCTAAACCAAGAACTTAATTCTCTATTAACTGCTTAGTGCTTACCATGGAAAAAAAGAAAAGCTGTTGGGAAACGAAACTAAGATCTAGAACTCCAATTAAAACTACAAACGACTGGGCTACGTAACAATTTGTGTCATAATGTTGCAAGCGCGTGTTTTATATACACTGTGTTTAGTTTATACGTATTACCTCGATCCATTTATACGCAACTTCGAGATTCTCGAGTGGGGGGGGGGGGGGGGGGGGGAGGCTGCTGTAGCTCCGCCCTGTAGGTAGATAAATTTCATTATTGCAAATTACCTTTTAACATGATAACTGATATAACACATATATATGGTTACGTCTTCGGTGCATTTACTTTTTTGGGTGCATTCAATGTACTCGCTTCATAATTGTCATTCCGAACATGCGATTCATGTCAAAACAATGTTAATCATCACGTATGATACGATGGACAAAAAAACCCATGAATTAGCACAAAAATTATTCAAAATTTACATTAATTTGGAGGAATTATGGTTTGTGGATTTATGGTTAGGGTTCATGATTTGGGGTTTAGAGCAAAAGTTCAAAATTGAAGGTTTAGGACTTAAAGTAATGCATTGATTAGTTGTGATCTTATGTTATATCATCATATATAACACTAATCTTACTAATCAAAATAGAAAATTGATGTCTTAAGACTACTTTTAGAGTTGGGTGCATTGAATGCACTCATTTTTGTAAGTGCACCGAAGTAGCCACTATATATATATATATGGTGTTATCCTCCAAATAATAATAGCGAGATTGAATAGGATGCTAAATATTAGCACCATACTAATAATAATTAATAAAAGTATTATAGTTAGGGCTGCAAATGAGCCAAGCTACTCGCGAGCAACTCGAGGCTCGAATCGGGAAAAACTCGATTCGTTTACTGATGAGTCAAGTTTGAGCTTAGCTTTGTTCAGCTCGTGAAGCTCGCGAGCTAGCTCGACTCGGTGGCTTGTTGAGCTCAACTCGTGAGTTGGCTCATTTAAAGCTCACGAGATGTCTCAACATTGTGGTTTGAGGGCCAACTTGATCACCGACTTATGGACTAATCGATCTAATTTGGACTTTCATAATTCATTGGATTGTTAAATTATATATCTCACATAATGTGAAGTTTAACATGTTGAACATGTAAGAAAATATGCCTTATTTTTAATTCTATAAAGAAATTATGTACAAAATTGTTTCGATACTATGAAATAACATGATTTGAACTAGTTAAAATTTATTAACTAAACAATATGACACCTAAAAATTATAATATAATATTAATTAATGTTGAACATTTGATTATTTTTTTATCGCTACATCAATCACATGTACCATGCACGACATACAAAATGAATGTATCAAATACAATCTAAGAATTTAGTAAACAAGCCTAGCTCGAACTCGACTCGACTCAGCTCGTTAATAAATGGCTCGGGCTCGAGCTCGGCTCATTTGTTAACGAGTCAAGCTCAAACTGGGGAAAAACTCGGCTCAACTCGACTCATTTGCAGCCCTAATTATAGTAACTACTGTATATGTTAGTTTTTTCTTGGATAAATACAATTTAATATCCAAACTTTTCATTTTAAACACTATAATAGCCAAATCTTTTCGAAAACAATCTAATATCCAAATCGTCAACTTTCCGTTCGTTTCACCGTTAGTTGACACTTCAAAAAAGCTTTGTTTAGGGGAAATTGTCACAACAACTTTGTTTCTTGTTTTGGCATTGCAGAATATTTAGATATTCTATACCATCATGGTGGAGTCATGGACTTCTCGGGTTTAGAACTACGATATGTTGGTGGTTTTTCAGAGAAGATATCGATGGATATTGATGAAGTATCGTACTTCGAACTTTTTTGAAGTGTCAACTAACGGTCAAATAGAAAGTTGACGATTTGGATATTAGATTGTTTTCGAAAAGGTTTGGCTATTATATTGTTTAAAATAAAAAGTTTGGATATTAAATTGTATTTACCCTTTTTTCTTTCAATTTGTTGCTCTTTGGAAAAAACTACCATCGTTATCAATTACGGTCGGAGACTATTGAAGTCGAGAGCGATCAAACTTGAACCGATTTACTAAATCTGGTAACCACAAATGGAATTAAATATTCTTAGTAAATCAAATATTAACGTTTTTAGTACTCTGGTGACTAACATTGCAATTTAGAGGGAGGGAATACAGGCTACAGAAATTGAAAGAAGAAAAAAGGCAGATGTCATTCCTTTCCTTGTACATTTCTGCGCTTCACTTGGCGCCGTATTCTTCCATCACAATCACCACTACTGAGGAGTGGCACAAACAATGAACAGACTAATCTCCTGTTATTTGTTACAGACCAATCCTTCTTTAAATCGGCATCCTCCAATTTTCCTCAGTCGATCACAATTCACACAGACATCCACAGTTACACATACAAAAGAGCACCCGCCCTGGAAACGAGGGGGCAAAAACAACTATGGAGCACCAGCTAGCAGATCCAAACCCCGGCGATGAATGCAAGTACCGTGGCGTCGGGCCATTTTGGTACCATCAACGAATGACGAAACCGCCGGGATTCTATGCTGAATTCCTGATAAAGTTGTTGTGAAAAAAGTATCATGTTTGTCATCTGCCAGTTCACTTGGAATCAGATGATGAGGGAGATCTTGCCTTGTTCCACCTTCACTGATATCATAAAAAGTAATCAGGTGCTGGCTTCTTGGCTGGTGCTCCTCTCGACTCCTGCATTTTTTCACATTTTGCAATTAGTACTATGCCCACCATAACAACAAGTACATCACCCTCATTTCTTCATGGAATTTTTTTCTTCCTGAACTGAGTTCAGCTACAAACCTGTGGGGCGGCATCAAATACGCGAAATTGTTTGTTAAGGTTCTCATCCAGCTCAAGTATTGCCGCTACATTACCACATCTGCAACACATTCCGAGGAATACCATCCAAAGTCGGTCAACAAATAAATTCCAAGGATATAGATAGAGAGAGTATGCGTGTGTTTTAACAAAGGGGAATCTTTTACCTGTAACAGTAATTTGGAGCCGACCAAACAGTAACTATTTGGTTGTTGAACATCCATTTGTATCCCTCCATTACCAACTGGTGAGCGCGGCAAATGTAATCGATATTATTTGAGTGGTTGAAAGAACTAACCACACTGCCACCAAACAAAAAACCTGCACCACGCGGACTCAAACCCCAACCATCCACAATATCTTCAGGATCCGACCAAAGGAGATCACACATGGCACCATCATGAGGCACTTCTTGTTTTCGGTCAATGGTCCGGATCTGTTTCAAGGATTGATCAGTACATCTAACAATCAAAGATAAGCAAAAGCAGGTTAAAGGTAGACTATTTTACCTGATCCAAGGTCGATATTGCAGGAGACAGACCTCCGTGAACACTGAAAACTTTGTTCTCAATGAGCGCTGACAAACTGCGTTAAATAGGACCAATCAGCACAGTTAATAATTGACACATTTCATACAAGCAACTGAAGTACTGAACGGTGGTTTTTCGAAAGATGATGCACACTCCTAACCAGATCATGCCTTTAGTTACTCGCAGATTAATTACACAACCTAAAAGCAGACACTGGTTTTGTCTCGAGCTGAAGCTTAAAATGATACTTTAAAGGAAGTCCAATTTCCTAGTAATGACAGGAAAATGTAGTTAACTAAACTTAGTGAATAATAAAAAAGAGGCAAAAGAGCGCACTACACACTAGATCCAGTTAGAGCAAAATCACGGGCTACTGATCATACATCAATAAGTGAAAATGAATAATATTAACTGAAACAGAAGAACAGCAGCTCACAACCTATCTGCTATTGATATTAGCAATAAGATCAAGTAGCTTCCATCGTCATACCTCAGGTAATCAAAGATATCCGTGCAGTATCTCCATACATTTACAGAACCGTATTTCCGTAGACACTCATCATAAAAACCATACACCTGCACAAATAGCACGGACAATGTCAACTTCAGAACTCCCACAGTTAACGTAGAGAAATAAGGCAGGCTGTAAGAACCTAACCTGTGTTATCTGACGGCTCTCATGATTTCCTCTGATGAGTGTTATTCGATCTGGATATCGCACCTGACAAAACAGTAACTCGTTAATTGTGAAAAGCAGGATGGAAAACCAATGTAATTTTGTTGATCCTATGAATTTACAGAATGCATGCCTCTTAAATTACTTTTGGAGGCCTAAGTTGAAGTTGATTGCAGCTATCCATGTGAAATTGGAGACGAGACTAAAGTTGCATACACGACTTGAATGACTTTGACTGTCAGCAATTCAAACTCAGAGAAAGAAGATTCACCGCTCCAACTTAGCATTCATATTCGCTTTTATGCAATTTTGACGAAAAACATTGCATTAAAGGGATGAATTATGAAAGGCTAAGATTAAAAGTAAAACAGTAAAGAAGTCTCAAGTCCCTCACAGGGACCAAGGATACGGAGGTCAAAAGAAACATGGAGGAGAAGAGAAGAAGAAGTATCTTGACATTGGAGAAAAATAATACCTTAAGGGCAAGCAGAAGCAAAAATGTTTCAACAGAGTAGAATCCTCTGTCAACAAAATCTCCAAGAAATAAGTAATTAGTCTTTGGGCAATCTCCTCCTACTTTGAAAAGCTCCTTCATGTCATAAAACTGGCCATGGATGTCTCCGCATATCTATACATGGTAACAGCCAACAGAGTTAGTAAGTACACTTACCCCAGTAGCCAACAAACTCTCAATCAAGGAAACAATTGTAGTTTCAAAGTAAAAAGTAAGCAATTTCAACTAATAGACATTATTTATGTTCTATTTTTGTAGCATAAGTCATAACTTCTGTTCAGAATCTTGCTGCAGAACGAGAAGAGAAGAAACCGGCTAGACTTAGAGCCAACCCTTGGTCAAAGCAAAACTGCAGTTCCAAGGAATTAATCCAAAGACGTTTGAGCATGTAAGCAAACACATATTAGCAAAAGAGTGACAGAAAACATGCGGTCATTCACCTCCTAATTTCATATGAAACATGTGCCCAACAAAACTGTCCTTCAAACAGCTATAATGTTATGCCAGATGAAACAACGATCCTATACCGAAACCCTACAGGTGAAACCCATAAACTATAAATAAAAGCATCATACTAGCTTAATTTCCAAGCTTAACCTACCTAAGTTGAGTGAAAACTGGCAAACCAGATCCACTGCTTCTACAAGTAACAATTTTAACCTAAAGCAAGAGATTCTAGCCAAACTTGCGTTCATGGTCCGATTTTTAGTCATGACGAAGTATAGCAAGCAGTAGATTTGTTCTCAACCTCGGAGATAAGCAACACTAAAAGCACCAAATAGAACAGCAAGTAGAAAGGAAAAATTTAGACCAATTTGTTCACATACAAGCTTACAAATTAGACTCAGCTGAATGACTTGTTCACAATCATATCTACCATGATGGAACCACAAATGAAGATAATTTGCAAAATTTTAACGATAAAAAAAAAAAGAGTGTAATGACAAAGAATGACCCGGTTAAGTAAACGCCCTTACTGACACTTTACGAGCTTCCTAATCCAACCCATCAAGTAGAGCTTAGATAAAGTGAGGCCATGGTGGGGATTGGGGGGCAAATACCACCAACATATATATGTAGACGCAAAATTCCCAAGTCTGAAGCCCTAACACAGTCACAGTAATGATTCAATTGTGACAACCACCAGAGGACAACGACAAAGAGCAAACCAAATAGGTAAACACCCTTAACGCCTACTTAGGGACTTCCTAATCCAAGTCATAAACTAAGACCTAAGAGCTTTAGATTCTCTAAGTGAGACCAAGGATGGGAGGAAGGTGGAGACGCACGTCACCAATATGCAAATACGTATGCGAAATTGTCCCAACTCTGAAACCCTAAACACTAACAGGCATGATTCAAGTAATCATTTGCGGGAAAAGAAATTGAATTGCTCGAAGACAGGAACGAGAAGGAGGCTTACAGTCACCGGAGCATCAACGCGCTGAACATTACTCTCTTCGACGAGGATTTCCATAGCTTTCAAGCACAGAGCCTTGACTTCCGACTCCTTCAACGGCTCGCACTTCTTCAGCTGCTCAATCTGCCTGTCTAGATCTGACATCTCCCCCGAATGCCCTAATTCCTCCCTTCCCCAACTTCTTCTACCACAAAATCAGGAGCCTTCAGTCGCTTCTCTCCCTTTCCGATTTAACGGACTACTGTCGGCTTGTTGACTGCTACGACACACCAGTGCAGTTCTCTCCTGCTCTGCCCAGTTCCCGCTCAACGAGAGCTCGCTCTCGCTCTCTCTCTCTCTCTTCAAAACTGATTTTTGGTGTGCTTTTACTTTCCCGAGAGTGGCCCCTACAGTTTCCTTTGTCGTAATTTTGGCGCCTCATATTTTTATAAATTTATTTCTGCCACACCAAATTTCCCAAACCAAAATATCGCCAATTTGGCATCCGGTTCGGGGGCCGTTCCGTTTCCTGGGTAACGGAGTACTGCAGCTCGAGACCGGACGGTCTGGTCACACCGTTCGGTTCATCCTCCCCTGCCCAAACCCCTTGTTATTATTAATTAATGAATTAAATTAAAAAATTAAGTTCCTCCGCCGCTTCTATTATCTCCTCCGTCGCCCACACTTTCCTCTTCCCCTCTCACTCTCCGCTCTTCTCTTCGCCCAAAATTTTGACAGTCAGCACGCACAAATAACAAAACAATAGTTTGTTTCTCAACCATTATTACCCGCCAAAACGGTCCTTCTCCAATCCACACCACACCTAACGTCTCGATTTTTCAAAACTCCCACGCCTTCCTTCTTCCCGCTTGGGTTCTCTGAACGATGTCTTCTCTTTGCAGGTAGGTCTCTCCTGGCGAAACGGTACGGCGCCGGGTTTGCCGAATGAATCGGGAGGGGAATGGCGAGGCTGCTGCTCTTCCGGAGCCGAAGCTAGATGCCGGCGGAGAAGTTGATTCGGTTGCGGAGAAGATGCAGCCGACTGCGACTGAGGTGGAGAATGAGGATGTTGGTAGGGATACGAAGAGGCTGAAGAAGAATTCGGCAGGGGAGATGCGGCAGGTGGCTGAGATGCTGCTGGTGTTGTCCGCCATGGGGCAGATGAGAGGAGGGAGGGATCCTACTGAGGCCGAGGAGAAGCTGATGGTTGAAGCCAAGGATAAATTGGCGGAGATCTGTCAGCGTTTTGCGCCTAAGGAGTTGGTGGCTGGAGATGCAGTTGGGAAGGTTATCGAGGATTTGGGGCTCAATTGGAAGCTCAATGACCAGCGGTTAGGATTTCGTGGATCCAGGATGTCGATTAAGGAGAAGGTTGCCCACGCAAAGCGAAAGGTAAGATAGATTGAATGTTCTTGCATTCATGCGAATGCCTTTTCATTGAAATTGGCAGGTGTTTGTCTGTGATATGTTCTTATTCGGATGTTCCGATTTTTCTTTTGCTAAGGTGTGTTAGAATGTAGACTGAGTGAGCATTGAGTTCGATTGTGAAGTATGTACATAAGTGGAAATCGAGGTCTGTTGGTGTAGACTAAGTTTGATTGAACGAAGCTTCAGTTTCCTCAAGAAATAAGAAATTGGGACGAGTTTCAACTTTTCTTTATCATTAGTAATGAAGGAATCAGGAGAGTGGTATTTCAGATGGATATAGGATGGTCATCCTCAGTGAACAGTGCTTTACATTTAGGTGTAGATTTTTGGGTTGGGTGTGAGCTTAGTTGGATATTTGCTTGTCCCTTCTGCATTCCGTAGCAGCTCTGTTGATAAGGAGAAGGCTCTTTTATTCCCCTTTCCAGGTTCAAGGTGGTTGTTCTAAGAGTTTATGGAACGCCAATATTGTCGTACCTGCTTAAACAATTTACTACCTGTCTTATTGAAATGGATGCTACTTTTGTCTTACTGAAATATGAAAGCTTAATGGTGCCACATCTTGACGCCTCTCCAGATGGAAGATCCCAAGAAGGTCACTCCACATGCATCTCAGACATCACATCCTAGCTTTGCGGTTATAGCTGAAGGTCGTGTTCCGACGCACACTATTCGGCCTCTTCCGTTAGAGAAACCAACTCATGCGCCTTTACTTTCTGGAACTGCGCCAGTTCATCATCCTTCTTTCACTCATGTTTCTGCAACAGCAGCTTATCTGCAGGCTTCCAATGCGGAGGCAAAAGGAGCTGCAGCATCTGGGCGGTTACCTATTAATCATTTGGGGAGCTCATCTGTAGTAGCAGCACCCAGAGGGCAGTTCATTAAGGTTGAAGGAGGACCAAATGCGAACACGTACACTCTAAATCGTAATTCTCCAACCCTTTTGGTGGCTGTTTGCAATGGAAATTCTCCAGCAATGTGTTAGCATTTTGCGACTTGGAGGTGCTTGAAGTTTTTACTCTTTTTTAGGTTTGGAACTGAATCACTATTTTCAAATTCCTTTTTTGCAGCAAATGCTCCTTTACACCATCCTGCGGGGAATGCTCCAATTTGGTCTGTACAACCCAGTTCCTTCCCCTCTAAGGTGGCGGCAGGGAGCAAGGTGCCAAATCATACTCCTGTGAAGGCTGATGGGATTGCTGGTTCAGGTGTACCACGGGCAGCTCTTCAAGGTTCTAGTCAAGCATTCAGACCGCCATTTACTCAAACAGCAGCAACAAGTATGCCTAGCGTGCATCAGCCTATGCAAACTGTGAAGGCTGTTTACAGTAATCACAGTGAGATTGCCAAAGTTGTTCAGAAGTTGCTTCAACCGAAGCTTCCTGAACATCCCACTTGGACTCCACCTTCAAGGGAGTACATGAACAAGGCTTTGACTTGCCAAAGCTGCAACCTCACTATCAATGAGGTTGACAATGTTATTATTTGTGATGCTTGTGAGAAAGGATTTCACCTAAAATGTCTGGAATCTGTACTCCAGAAAGCTGTTCCTAGAGCTGAGTGGCACTGCATGAAATGCACGTCATTAAGCAATGGGAAACCGTTTCCCCCTAAATATGGCCGTGTCATGCGAAGCATAACCCCTCCAAAGGGGCCTGCAAGTGCTACTCAGGTTGGAGCTCAGTCCTTGTCAGATAAGAAACTAGTGAATATGGGTCAAAGGGGTGTTCAAGATAAAATGAGCTCTGTGTTAGAAAGTGTTACAGAATCTGGCTCTGCTGGGTGTGTCACCCTTGTCTCTGGTACTAAGATTGACAGTGAAAGGGGACTGCCAGGAAATAGCATCACTTCAAAAGGAAAAGATACGGGCTTGATGCCATCTGCTGGAACTCTCCAAAATGAAGCTGACCCAAGAAAACCTCCGGGGCATGATTTAGCTTCAGTTGCCTTGGCAGGTGAAATGTGCAGTCAACAAATTCAATCACCTGGATCACCAATACATGATAAGAGATCCACTTCTGAACTAAAGCTGGATCCTCCTGCTTTGCTTTCCAGCCACATTCATGATACTTATGAAGCCAAATCCCAGCACAATGTGCAAGATGTTGCCGAAACAGGAGCTGTAAACACTGCTAAAGATCTTTTAGTTACTTGCCAAGTGGGCACTAATGCTGAAGAAACAAAGATTACATATGCTTCAGGATTTGATGTCAAACAAATTGAGGAAGGTGATTCTCAAACACCTTCTCATTCACTAAATGATGACAAACAAAGTGAGGTTGATGTTGCTCGCTTACCTGGTTCAAAACACGATGTCAAGCAAAGTGGGCAAGCTGTTGATCTTGCACCTTCTGCTTCAGAACAAAAGGTCAAGCAAGATGAGCAACCTGTGCCTTTTGCCTCAGAACAAAATGTGAAGCAAAGTGAGCTAGATGTTGGCCATGCACCTTCTGCTTCAGAACACAACAATGAGCAAAATCAGCCAGATGTGGGATATGCACCTTCTCTTTCAGAACAAAATGCTGCGCTAGGTGTGGGTCATGTGCCTTCTGCTTTGGAACACAACGTCAAGCAAAGGGAGCAAGGTGTTGCTCGTGCAGAACACAATTCTAAGCAAAGTGGGCATGGTGTTGCTCAGGGTCCTTCTGCTTCAGAACACAACATTAAGCAAACTGAGCAAGGTGTTTCCCCTGTGCCTGCTTCAGAACACAATGCCGAGCGAAGTCAGCAAGGAGTTGATCACGCACCTTCTTCAGAAGAAGAAAATGGCAAGCAAATTGAGCTAGGCGGTGTTCTTGCTCCTTCAGAACACAATTTTCAGCAAAGTGAGCAAGGTGTTTCCACTTCAGAACAAAATGTTGAGCAAACTGTGCAAGGTGTTGCTCATGCATCTTCCGTGGAACAGAATGTTGAGCAAGGTGTTGCTCATGTCCCTTCCGCAGAACAGAATGTTGAGCAAGGTGTTGCTCATGCCCCTTCTGCAGAACATAATGTTGAGCAAACTGAGCAAGTTGTTGCTCATGCCCATTCGGGTTCAGAACACAATGTTGACCAAAGTGAGCAAGGTGTTGCTCATGTACCTTCTGCTTCTCAACACAATTTTGAGCTGCAAAGTGAGCCAGCTGTTGCCCATGCACATCCCGGTAATAGCAGTAATGGTTCCAGTATGACCGTGCAATTGTCTGCTGAGGTGCTTCAAACTGTGGAGTGGGTTGGTTCTGCCCTTAATGTTTTTGATGACAAAGCATTCTACGAGTCTTGTTGCATTGGAGGAGTGGTGTACAAAGTGCTGGATCATGCCCTTTTCCATTCTAGTCATGGCAGATTGATGCCTTCTAAGCTTCAGGTAAGTTAGCCGTCTGAATCTGTGAAAGGAAGTATATGGTACCTTCTATATGTTAATCATGATTTATGTGGGGCTTATTTTATTTTTATATGTAAATGGAGATAATGTGAAGCCATAGAGGTGAAATGTTTTGTTTCTTGACTCAGATCTCACGCTGCTGCTAGGTTCACTATCTCTGGAATGTATTTCATTAATTGTTTGTTGTATTTTTTTTTTTATTCCCTTGCTATGCTGCTAACACGAAGCATTTAACCTGAGATTTCAGTCAATGTGGGAGGATATGAAGACTGGGTCGAAGTGGATTAGAGTCAGTACGTGCTATTCGCGGGAGGACTTACCTGAGGGTGTAGGCCAGCCATTTTCTCCCGAAAGTAATGAGGTAAACTGTTTGACATACTTAACTAATTATGTGACAGCTGTTGAGAACTTCAATTTTGCATGCTGGTCCATTGGTTAATGGAGCTAATTAGCGGTTAGCTGCACTCAATAGATAACTTGCCGATTTGTGATTTTCAAGATTCAGTTAGGGTGTTCCCTTAGCTTGGCTGGAAACTGTTTCTGTACAGCAAGCCCTGACCCTTGTGTTACTGTTATGATGTGCTCTCTCTGCCAGGTTTATGATTCCAACCATGAGATTAGTGTGATGGCTGGGTTGATTCAAGGCTCATGTAAAGTTCTGCCTCCTGTCGCCTATAAAGAAGAGAGTGAAAGAAGGAGCCAATTGGCAGCAGAGATAAATAACAAATCAGAACCAGTTTTCCTATGCAAGTACGTGTATTTGTTTACTTTAGTTCTGTATTCATGCTTCTAACTGCTTAAAAGCTGGTTGATATGTTATGCATGGTTATGACTTGCTGAAATGCTGATGTGTGATCTTTGATGGTTTACTTAACATCATCATACTTCCGACATTACTTATGTTGAATGTTAGCTTTTGCAGTTACTGGAACTTTCTGTTTCTTCTCATGTACTTCTAATCTGACCAGTTACCTTACTGATGGACGGATGATCCTTGAAACGATTCAAATGCGTGTATCAGCTCCACTTTGTTAAAGAAAATATCCGCTCATCTTATATAGCTATATAGAAGTTTAGGAGCAGGGTGCTGAGTTGCATGTATAAAACTCACATTTCGAACTCTGCACTGTAAAACCAAAAAGGAATCTTACATGAATTGTGGAATTTTACAGTAGATAATATATAGTGCAGTAATTAGCTTGTATTGATTTTTAAACAGCTTATTCACTTTAGAGTTAAGCTATTGGAATGTATCCGGCTGCCACGGGAACTGAAAGTTCTCCTTGGCTTTTGTGATCTGTTTCTGTTATATACATTGCTCAATATTGGTTGGCCATTGGAAGAGTGAATCTTAACCTGGATAATAGAGATCTTCTTCTTCTAGATTCCTACTCAATACCGTTTTCTGGACCTGTATGCAAGCTCAAATATTTTGTGACCAAAACAGGTAGAAAAAAAACTGAAGTATCATGTTTTTTGTTGAGCCTAATCAAGAATATATAACTTGACTAGTCCTTGCAGGGGCCTGTGGTTCCTGTCGCAGTATGAATCAGGATATGTATCTAAATTGATTATTTTTGTGGGTGATATAAGTCTGGGTGACCCGCCAAAGTCATCTACTGTTATGTGCCCATGAACACCATCTTATTGCATCGTTTGAGTTGAGCATCCAGCCACTTCTTGCATAATCTTATGTGAAATATCTGGTTGCAGGTGGTTTTTTGATAAACTCAGAGGAAGCTTTCAACCTGTTTTCAGTTGAGCGGTCTTTGTATGCTTTTGAAGTGTTGTTCCAGCAGTCTCAGGTTTGCACGATTATAATACCCTATCTAATAACTGTGCTGGTTTTGTTCAATGGGCTATCATTCTGATAGCTTGCTTCCAAGCAGTAGTAGGTTACTGGATAGTTTTAGGTAGATATGTTCCTGAAAATGGTTCAACTTCTATCGTATGGCTCAGGCTAATTGTTTTTTCCTGGGTTTCTTGCTTTGCTTGCAGACAGACTACATCAATTAGGGCCATTGACTTGAGAGACTTAGTTGGCAGTGGTCGTCTCTTGTACATATTGCAATGTAGTTTTTTTCTTGCCCCAGTTAGTCGAATTCTTTTCTGCGAACCAGCAGCAACTTCCAAGTAAATCTTCTAATTATCATAGCAGGGGCAGTGACATAAAATGTACATTCTAATTAAAGTTGTGTTTGCTTCTGCTTTTCCCCATTGATACCAAATGGTTTTAAACTAGCTCGTGGGGCGTTTCATTGAGGGATGAACACTCCTAGAGTCTTTACGATGTTGCAAGAGCCTGTGGTTTACGTTGTAGATTGAGTTGGGGTTCACTAATTAATATACCCATTAATCCAATTGCGGAAGCTCGTGCTTATGCTAAGAGCAAATGTATGATTCTAACCGAATCGAGAGTTGAGAACGAATGGTTGCCGTGTTGTCAAAGGCTTGTTGTTGTTGTAATGCATGATCAAAGGTTGTGACTACTAGGGGGATAGGGTCTCCCTCTCCCCCCATAGCATTAATTGAAGATGATGTTACTTGTTGATCTGGTCACCCTCGAGGAAAAGAGATTTAACACGCATCACAACCCTAAATTTCATGCAACTCTGCAATTCCCAACACCAATAATGAAGTGGCTACATACACATTCTTAGCCATCTAGGGTTCCTTTTTTTAATACAGAACTCATGTTGCTTCCAGTCGTTCTCTCTTGCTAGTCTATAGGGGGGGTTGAGGGTTTATTGCTTAGGGAAGAAGTTATCCAGCTATTTTGTCCGTCTTGTGTTGGTATATGTTGCCTCATCATTCCAGAGCAGAACCATTACTGGCTATTTTACTGTGAGGTTGTTCCTCGTGGATGCGACAAAAGGCCCAAGGGTTTGGATAAAGCTGGTCTAAACATGAAAGAACATGAATTTTGAGGAGTTCCATACTGTGATAGTGTTTTATTGTATTTGAAGAGATATTTTTATGGAAAATGGAAGAAGAAGTGTTCGAGTGACTGAAACAATAATGGTAAATCCTATGAGGAACACGTAGGAGCAGACATTTAATGTTTAGGGATTCAAAGGTAAGGTTCGGTTGCTTGCGGCAAAATCAATCGCTAGCTAGGTTGGGTACTTGGGGTTGGCATATATGAACCTTCTTTAGGTGGTGAGAGTAAAGGAGTCCATTATAATTTTAGAATGTGTTTTTTTTTTTTTTTTTGGTTTCACATGGCAACAGTGACATGTTAGGATGTATTATATGCTTTAAAGTATTAGTATTTGGAAATACAAATTGAACGCAACATTAATGTACAAGATGAGTTATAAATGAATTTGTATCTTTATGTTATGATACTATTTTGGTTTGTATCATAACATAAAGGTAAATATTCATTTTATACCATAAAGGTATAGGTATATATTGAATTTTTTGGTATAGATTGAATTTGTATCATCCATTAAAGGTACAAGTTCAATTCGTATCATATAAGTTTTTTTTTTTTTTTTAAATCAAAGCATTGCTACTATAAACCATTGTAATATTTTTTTTAGTTGACATGAAAATAGTTATGGTACATTCCGTGCCCTCTCTTATAAGATTGAGGGCGAAAATTTAACTCATGATATAAATTATACACACTATCGTGAACAACAGTATCTGCATCAGTTAAATCACTGAGATTACAATTTTTTTTCAATCTCTCGTTAATATTAAATGACATGTATCTGTTTTGTTCTAACTTTCAAATTTTTTTAAGAATAATCAGATTGGTTGTAACTTACAAAAATCAGTAACATACGTACTAACAACATAAGCACTCACATTATAATAATACATATATTATATAATAGTAACATAGTTTTTTTTTTTTTTTACAATAAGTTGCATTTCATTCATAATCGATGTTGGTACAAGCTGAGCCTATTACAGAAGAGGTGAGATTAAATCAAGAATATGGATCCATTGAGTAGGAAGAGTTCCTCTCGCTGATTCTCTGGCCACCCAATCTGCGCTTTTGTTGGCTTCGTGGAGTAAAGCACACCTTGATTCCATCATTTGAGGATAGGATATGTCGCATACAATGAAGCCAAGCTTTGACATGCCATGTCCAAGTAGCCCCTTGCCTAAGGAGAGCATTTGTGAGAACTTGGCAGTCGGAGAAAACAATTGCAGACATTCCTGAAGAATCAACAATTTGGAGAGCAGTCAATAGGGCTTTAGCTCCCGCCACCATCGATGTTGAACAAAAAAAGGTACCAGCCTTTCCATCAATCACTTGTCCATGGCCGTCACAAACGACAACGCCATAAGCCGCCAACTGTGATTCCGAGGCAAAAGCTCCATCACAGTTAATCTTCAATTGGAAGAAACCAGGCGGTGGATCAAGGTTAGAACGAGGTGGAGGGGGCTGGGTAGAGACGATCCTTGGGGACGGGGGGAATACCGTTCCAATCGGTGAAGTGGTTGACAGCCTTCGCTGTAGTAGTCTGGAGAGTGAGTCTGACCCCTTTGAAAACAAACTCGTTCCTAGCATTCCAGATTGCTCAGAGGTTCGCAGCAATAGCCATGATAGAGAAAGAAGGGGATGCTTCATGTAGGTGGAACAACCACATCAGCAAAGGCATTGAAGAGGGAGCTGCAGCGATGGGAAGCTGGAATGCCAGGTGGAACGGGCGTGCTGGCATCCAAAGAAGCAGTGCCAAATGTCTTCAGAGTCAGCCTGACATACAGTGCAGCACGGGGATTGTATGACCTTTCGGAAGCAGAGGTTTCCCTTTGTCGCCAAGGCATTCCTTGTGATTCTCCAGATGAAATTCAGAATTTTTGGTGGCAATGAAAGACTCCATAACCATTTCCAAGCTTTGGATGAGCAACCGGGGTGGTTTGGGTCTGCCGAGTTTGTTCTAGTTCTTTCATCAATCCTAGCAGTGTGGTAAGCCGATTTAACAGTGAAGAGTTGTTATATATCATGGTAGTAAAATAATGAGGCAGCAAATTACCTAAACTTCTAGTCATGCCTATAAGTTACTTCTTTATTTTCATAAATAAAAAGAAGTTCCTTGTTCCTTTTTATATATAAATGAATTGAAGTTCTTTCTAGTTTGGTTGAAGTCTATGTCTTTTGCCGACCCAAATATTGTCACACAGAAAAAGGAGGGTACAATAATAGAGATGGTTTGTCTAAACCTTCTTTCTTTTGCAAAACCCTTTTGACACACAAAGAAAGAAAGACATCCCAATTTAAGGACCCAAAAACAGATACTTCCTTTGGATAAAAGGGGAGGGGCAGAAAAAAATAATGGGAGTTTGAATCTCAGAGGCTGTCGGCAATCCGCCGTTGAATCATCGGCAGAGAATCATGAGGAGGGAATTGGTTACTCTTCTTCCTCCTACACTACTATTCTTCCTTCCTCTCTAACTAAATTAAAGGGAATGGTCTGGTCCTAAAGGCTAATTAAAGCAGCAGGACAGGCAAGGCAACGACTACACACCATATATACAGAGAGAGAGAGAGCTTCAAACCGACCAAATAAGAAAGAAAGCAGCAGAACAGAACAAGAGAGAAGATCGAAATGGCATAATTGAGGGAGGAGACAAGAACCCAAGTCAGGCGCAAAGCCAAATGCCTCTCTTCACTCTTTTTTGACCGCTTTCAATTTCCCCATCTTCCCTCTTCTCCGTTCTCCAGCCACTAGTACTACTCATTAATTTCTCCTTTGCCTTTTTAATTTGATTGAATTGAATAAAGGCAGAGTCTTAATTAATCTCCCAATTTGACCATTACTGTGCATGTCCTCTAAGCTGAAATCAAATCGGAAGTTGTATATATTTAAAAATTCGGTAGTGAAAATTTTTATACTAAAATTGTGGTTTAATCGTAGTTAAACGTTCTTCTATCATTAAATATGCTTAGCAATTTAATTTGATATCTTTTCTAATATTTCGATCCGATTGTATTTCTAAGAAATTGCCTCTAAAAAAAGTCAAGTCGAATAGACATCTTTCTTTGGGAATTTCAAATAAGGATTGCATATTGAAAAAAAGGGCAGGTAACTAAGGTTAAACCCCACTTACTAACACTTATTCATGATGGTCAAGTCTCTTATGCCAGGGTAATTGACCATTTTTATAATAACTATTAAGACGTATAAGAACCGTTACATACTTGCCACTAAATAATTAAGCGATTTTTGTATGTGCAAAGAAAACTATTAATGGTAAAGTTTATCATTGTGAAAGGATTTTTGTTGGGCAGAAGAAAGTATTAAAATAAGAGAAATGGGTTAAATTTCTTTGCAAAATTTTAGAGCATTTACAAAAACAAATGGGTAGGATTGGCATTGTATAAGAAATGGAGCAATGTGCGCTTACATCATTTTCTAATGATATTGTAAATATATTTTTATAACATAAAATTATTATATTCTAAAGATAGAAGGTGAAAGTTGGAATTATGTATTTAATTTGAAAAATTGGTCGATCGCTTGATTAGCAATAGCACACCAATTAATGCTGCCCAATGATAACTTGAATCACTGAATTTTCTGATAGCCAAACCTAGAATCCAAAAAATTATGACATAATAGAAAAACGAATACAAGTATACAACTATATATTCACTAAGAGAGGTTCTATACACTAAAACACAGCCAATCAAGTCATACCATCTGTACTGCATGCATGCGGAATTGGAGTTCGCTAGCAGGCTTTGGGGTTCTGATTAAGCAATCACTTAATTAATGTACGTGGGAGTATATGTATTCTCCG